GTGGTCAGAATTGAATTCTTATGAGAGTGGACGGCGAGTAAAATGGAGGTGGCATAGCGCGCAAGCGACACGGGAGCCCAGATTATTTGTCTGAGGAGTGGGTTGGGAAGAACATCTTGTTCCCCAAAGACTGCAATGCCTAGACTGCCTGATTTTTAGTGAGAAACCATCAAGAGAGAAAAAAACCGATCTAAATAGGCGAGCGGACAAGGCAATTTAGAAACGGCCACTCAAACTCCTGGCGGTTATTCTTCGAAGTCACGGGAAAGCTGCTGGAAAGGATGGGTAGAATGAGAAGTTAATCGATTCAGTAATAAGATGAAGGTGCAGTCCTCCAAACCAGACAGAGTTTCAGGGAGTCGAATACCGATTTTCAGGGTATTCAAAGGAAGATATACCTTAAATTAGAGAATAGACGGTGTTTAACTTTGGAGGGGTGGGTGGAAGAATGATGAAAGAAGCATTACGAAGGTTGTAAGGGCGACTAAGAAGGGAAGAGTTGAAATCCGAGGCAGGTTTGGACCGTCGTCAACGCTGAAAGCGGAACAAAAGCCAGCCTCCAGTCTCCGAACCAAGTGTTTAAAGCAAATAATGTAAATGGATGATTCTGTGACTAGCAAGCGGATAGCGCGCCGTGCCAACAACTAGGATCTGGTTATATGGAAAATTTTTTGGGAGGGTATTTGGGAGTGACAAAGCACCTAGGCGCAGAGGGGGAGGGAATGTTTGAACGGACCAAAAAACATAGAACAAAAACAACATACTCCATAAGAAAACTGAAAGTATCTGGCGTTCCGTCAGTCGTCGTCTTCCGTGATCTCGTTAGTTTTTCGTTCTTAGGTCAGTTCAATGAGTTTGGTCACGTCGGATCGGGCAGTGCTAAATTAAGCTTACCAGGTCGGAGGGCTAGGGGAGGTTAGAACCGACTAATTCACATGCTAGCTGCTGGTCAAGAGCATTAAGAAAATGAAAGAGAGCCGTAGTCGTCACAGAAGTGAGACAGCAGTTGGCAAAATCGACGCAGAATCGTTAAGTATTAAGGATGTCGGTTCTTAAATTACCATACCACTGACTATCAGGATAGATGTAAAAGGGATGACGGAATACATATAAACAGAGGTGGAACGGTTCGTCGATGAGAGACAAAATGGAACGCGCGTCCTATTCGCCGCGACGATATAAGGATGTCTGCTCGAAATCTTGGCTTGTTAAGGCCAATCGAGAGAGCTACTCTTGGGAGTGTCAAAGAGCAGGTGAAGCCTCTGTCAAAAAATGATAGCGGCAACATCGTAAGCTAAACGTCGAGAATAGGAACAGAAAATTCAGAACCTAATGTAACAATACGAACAGGATAGAACTCACTGGAAATTCCAACGATAAGAATGTGACGGCCTCGGATCAGATGCCTCAAGTTTCAGGATGTCTCCGACATCATAGGACGAGTCCGTGCTTATCTAAGGACCGATAATGAATAGCAGGAAATGGTGACCGATGGGTCGTAGTGGCCCTCGTGCTCCTGTAGAAAAACCAGAAGGGTTTGTAGGAAGGTTAAGTTGCTCGAGTAACTTCTGGCGAAAAAAATCATCCCGCAGGCTAGCGCGGAAATTCGTGATAAAAAGACATCTGTAGCATAAGACAGCTGGTCAGGGAAGGTATCGAGTATT